CAACAAGCAAATTTGATGAATTTATATCCCCCGCTGAGTACTGGTTATTACTAACACAACAATTGGAGACATAAGGCTTTTTTTATATATTTATCATAACATAAACAGTTATATTCTTTGTACATAATAAAAAGGCCATAACACCCTGTTAAAAAGTATTATCTGGACATGCCAATAAATGAGATCCAATTGCCTTTTTGTATTGATGGTTTCCATAAAGTTTTGTTGAAATCAATACAGCAGTTGCAAAGCAATAGCAAAATTGCTCTTTATGCATTCTACATACATGTAACTAATCATGGGCCATAAATCTGTGTTGAAGGGTCTGACTGGAACAAGACGAGGATATGCCCACCTCCTCTTAGAATTGATGGTTTCCATAAAGTTTCATTGAATTCCAGCCTGTAGTTGCAGAGAAATAGCGCGGAAACGATTATTGCTCAATATGCATACTGCATAACTAATCAATGGTCATAACTCTGTGTTGTAGGATCTGACGGGATCAATGCTATGATATGCGCATCTCGTCTTGGTATTGAAGGTTCCAATTAAGTTTTGTTGAATTCCTGCGAGTAGTTGCAGAGAAATAGCATGGAAACGATTTTTGCTCTATATGCATAAAGCATTACTAGTCAATGGCCATAACTCTGTGTTGAAGGGTCTGACCTGAAAACAAGGCAAACAATATGCGCATCTCCACTTGGTATTGATGGTTCCCATAAAGTTTCATTGAATTCCTGCCAGTACTTGCAGAGAAATAGCACAGAAACGATTATTGCTCTGTATGTATACTACATAACTAATCAAGGGGCATAACTCTGTGTTTGAAGGGTCGGACCGGAACAAGGTGATTATATGTGCATCTCATCTTGGTTTTGATGGTTCCTATAAAGTTTCATTGAATGCCTGCCAGTATACATTGTAGTTGCAGAGAAGTAGCGCGGAAACGATTATTGCTCTATATGCACACTGCATAACTAAGCAAGGGCCATAACTCTGTGCTGAAGGGTCGGACCGAAAGAAGGCGACAATATGCTCATCTCTTGGTATTGATGGTTCCCATAAAATTTTGTTGAATTCTTGCCAGAAGTTGCAGAGAAGTAGCGAGGAAACGATTATTGCTCTTTATGCATAGTCCAGGGCCATAAAACCAATGAGCTTTTCTTCATAATAAGTCAAAGGTGTGAAATTGACAGACTGAGCCGAGTTCATTCGTGTCACATTGTCAATAAAGACACAAATTGTTGAAAAAGTTTACGATGAATACATTGCCTTAAGGATTACGGACCGTAATGGGCACTTTCAAGAACAAGTGTGGAACCCAATTTATTGAAAAATAATACACATGTACATACATACTGGGACATACGATAAGCTTATCGTATGTCCCAGATACATATACAATGTCAATAAATAAGAGATAACATAATTTTTATGATAGAGTTTCAAAATTCAAGTACACAAATAAATACAATAATACAATTTTGGAAAGAGACTATATGTATATCAAGTTACGTACGTAAGGAGGACATTATAATACAATAGGCCTACAATGGTTTTACATAACATTATATCATTACATTTATAAACATTAATAGCTCCTTATATAAACCATGGACTTTAAAGTACGTGTATTAACATATAAGTACCTTTTCAGAACAAAATATAAAAAAATCTATTACCAAAAAATTATGTAAAATAGTTACACTTGAATTTGGTTTAAATAGAGGATATTGAATGAGTGTAGGTTTAATACTAAATTTATTGAACGAGTTGAATAAAATCATATTATGCGAGCCTCTGGCGAGCATAATATTGTTTTATTCAACGAGTTTAATAAATTTAGTATTGAATCTACACGAATATAATATTCTATTTATCACATATATAAAATAAGAACGGTAAACTGTTATCAAGAGTCATTTTTCTTTGACGCGCCTGTAGTGTAACGCTAACATTAGCGCGCTTTAACGCTATATTTATAGCGCAAATGACGTGACGTCAAACTGTTATTACACTAGTGTAATATCGTCTAGTGTAATATCGTTTTTATTAAATGGCTTTATTACACTCCTGCGCCGCGGTTTATGTTATAATGCACCTTTCACATATACCTATTCCAATGTATTCCTGCCATCGTGTGCAGTCATACTTTAACGGCCAGAGGTTGTGTGTCTTCGCAAATCAGTAAAATAATGTGTATACATACAATTAAGCTATATTAATATACATATACAAGCTATATATTAAGCGCCATATGATTTTAAGAACCAAATCATTACCCAAATACATGTATATAAACTGACAGTGACGTGGAGGAATTTTATGACAGTATGTTTTTTTATCATGAGTATAAAACAATTTTGAATCTTGTTTTTACGTAATTATGATTTGATGAGTTGGAAAAAGTTTTATATGTAAAAGACTTCCATGGATCTTTGGGCGCTGAGATCGCTGGAAATCTTGTCGATGATGACCAGTTTCCGTTGTGATTACTAATTCGTTAATAATTTCATGATCGGGATTTTCGGATATTATCGTTGTAGTTGTCAAAAAAATCAATTGGAAAATGAACAACCACGTTGAACATGCCGATATTGCTCTCCATTTAGCTGGCAACAAGGTAATATTTGCATATTTTTAGAAGCTGAAGGTGTTGCATAGGATTTTAACAGTTTTTTCGCTGAGTAGAAGCGTAAATTATCGCTTAAGGTAATGTCTCAAATAAACTACTTTCGGATACTGCATAAATTCGGATTAAGTTGCAACTTACATGCACAGTATTTAATAAAGATAATTTAGACAGAATCTGTTGTATCAGCTTAATTTTACAAAAGTGTGAAAAAACTGGTTGATGAATGTTAATTGAAATTAGTTGTATATCACACATGTAAGTCAAATACAGTTGAACTATACTCCAGTTAAATTGCCTAATTCCAACTTCAGGATTTAGGTCTAGGATTTTGTGGTATTTATGGATAGTATAGAAATTTAAAGATTTTTCAATACCATACATAAGGTTAAGAGATACATGCACACATCAACTTAAATTGACAAAGTCCGTGATGTACATGACCACATGTTTAACACATGTTTTATTCATCCTTTTATCATTTATGATGACGTTGATTTTTGGATAATTCATCAGTGTTCGCGTGCAAAAATTTGAGAATTATAACATTTTGTGCCTGACTAATCAACATATAATATTAACAAAAGAGCAGGTTAAAGCTAACCTGTGTATGCTTTTCATACCTGTCGGCTGTGCTCATGAGTGTCCTTGTTATAATTGTAAAAATATAAATTTTAAATAAAGTCCATGTAGAAATAAATCGTAATGATCAATGAATGACTCTGTATAAAACCAATGAAAACCGTTATCTTCTAAAAAATGTTTGGTCAAGTCTGGGCAGGGTCCGGTTTTCACAGTTGATACTGCAATATGTTCAAGCTACATGTACATTTGTAGGGAAAGCCCACTATGTAATTAAAAATTCCCTCAAAAAACAATATATAAAGTTGGGACAGCATGTGTACATTATTATATATATATATGCAAATAGCAGCATATAATTTTTGATATATTTTTCTTATTTCTTTTCATTTAATTACATTAAATTGATTCAGTACTTTTTCCTACTTTTTGTGTTTCAGACCATAGATTTATCAAAGTTGTCAGAGAAAGAAAGATGGAAGTAAGGCTTTTATTATTTTTCTAAAGCTCTTATATTGCAATGAAGAAAAGTTTGAAATAAGCAATCATCTAAAGTTGAAATGGTTGTCTAATGTTCTGGTTTGCACATATATGCCATCCATGCCATTTAATGTTGTTTTAAGTCTTAATAGGGTCACAGTATTTTATGTGACCACAATATCTTCATAGATTCAGGCTTTATAATTATTTAGATGTACATGTACCATGAAATTTACTTATTTGTCACTTATAGGCTATTTTTATTTTAAGCTTATATTTGGCTTAGTAAATTTACATCATTTATACTATGGTATTAAGATTACATGCATTTGATACTTGTAGGATATTTGTTAAATTAATACTTCATTTACAGAATAGAGCACCAAAGATTACATGAGAAGCATCGTGGCCATGAGGCTATGCATGCTGAGATGGTCCTTATACTAATAGCGACTCTTGTTGTTGCACAGATATTGTTAGTCCAGTGGAAACAGAGATACTTCAGGTCTTATCAGGTAAAATTTTAGGGGAAAAAACTATATTTAGGAAAAATCATAGAGGCAACCATTAATTTGAGTTAAGTTTCTTAGTTTGATTTAGTGTAATGCAATGGAGACTATTTATGCTGTAGCATTTAAACCATTCAGGGATCACAAAAGCTAAAAATTACATTTTATTTTTACGTCAGACATCATTGTCAGACATAATTTTCATGTACATTTTGCATTAATGGTATGTCAAGTATTCAGCACATGAAATTGATAGGTCATTGGAGATGTGGGTCCCATGTTAGCATTGTGAATCAGTCTAGTGTGTTGACTGTTGTGATTACATTTTTCAGTCTTACAGTAACAGTTAATTACAGTTTTTGGGCTAAAATAAGGCCCCATTCATAAAGCCTAAAAACAATATCCTTTTGTTATTCACAATTTTCAAAACAACATAAGAATATAAACAGAGACATGGAACTATGAGACTTTATGTAATAATTAAGGTGTAGGTGGTTATTATGAATTAAGGTATATTCCAACACATTTTTAGTTATTTAATAGCTAAATATTAACAGTATACATTAGGTTTTACTCTGTATTCCAAATAATGGTATTACAATGATAATTTTCACAATTCAAATTGCACCAGACCCATTGACAAAGAGACAGGAAAAACACTGCTATGTGTGCTGTTATTACATTTTTTTTTCAGAGAGCCACATTGATTGGAATGTGGATAATTCCTGTAGGATTTTGTTTGAAGTTTGGTTGGACAAGGTTTATAGTTGTGTGGGCTATTTTCTCAGTCATTACCGCCTATATTGTGTTCAAATCTACAAGGAAACCTTTAGAAGGAAGAACACCAAGGTATTACAGTTGTATTAACATATCGAACATTTTTTTATTCACAAGTCTGTCAGGAATTCCAGAGTAAGGGTTTTAAGAATACAATGTTAAAGATAGACAGTAATTATTGTTGGTAATCCAATATCTGTCTATGTATGTTTATGTGTTTAAAAAATGCATCTAATTCAAATATTTGCATTCTTGATAGTATTTCAGAAAATCCTGGAGACACTCGCAGATTAATAACATAGCATAACAAAGGGTTATGTTGCCAGCTTGAAGGTCATAGTCACCATAGCTGAAAATTAAGTACCCCTAGGTGTCATTTGGTCTCATAGTTGGTTTCATATAATGTAGAAATAAAAATATGTGTTGAATTGGCACTTATTTACGTTATGTATTACTACAAGGAAAATGTTTGTTTTTTGGGTTTTTTTCGGGGGAGGGGGGGGGGGTCATCAAAAGTGAAAATAGTTCCTGATGAAGTGAGAAATCTTTAAAAACATAATAAATGCCCAGTGCCAAGCAGGATAGTACTGGTATTGAATGCAGGTAAACATTTTTAACATCTTGTATAATACTAGTATACTAACAAATCCAACAAATAAAAATAAAAATTTGTTCTATTTCCAGGCTTGTATATAAATGGTTTCTGCTCATCTACAAAATCAGTTATGGCTCAGGAATTCTGGGATACATGGTCATAATGTTAACAATGCTGGGCGTTAACATGTTATTCTTGATCAAACCACAGTATTCTATGGATTTTGGTCTTTTGATAATGTTTTATGGCCTCTATTTTGGGGTTGTGTCGAGGGATTTTGCAGAAGTTTGTAGTGATACCATGGCAGCTCATATAGGGGTATGATCTTTCATATATATATATTTCAACTAAACTACGTGAAATTTCTTTTAATATATGCTGGATTTTTTGATAATTGAATGATTAGAAATAATTGAGAATGTTGATATTTAGATAAATAATATTATACAAGTTGCTGGCAGGATATATGGGGAAACATAAAGCTATTTAAAGACAACTATAACCAAGGTGCTGTCAGACGGTCATATAGATCTCAGCTGGTTAGATGACACCTTATTTACAGCAAAATAAGTTCCATGTTACTTGCGTTTTATCATAACATGTTCAAATTTACTATTTTAGTGCTATTTGATTGGCAATAATGCAGTATGATATTATTATATTTATATGTTTACTTATGAGTACAGAGTTGATTGATATCTTGTTTTTTAATATATTTCAGTATTATACAGTAACGGGTTTGCCTGGGAAAAGGTTAGATCCGAATATCTGTGCAGTATGTGGAAATCAAATATTAGTTACAAATAATGAAGATGCAATAATAGAAACAACCTGTAAATTACAGTGTGACCATGTGTATCCTTTTAATACAAAATAATATATACAATTACAATATACCAATAGAAATTACTAATTATGATACTTTTGTTACCAATTATAATTTCACAATACAGTTTAGGTACCAGTTAAAATTTCAAAATGTTACAAAACAGATTTCAGCTTATACTTCTTACTAGTAAGCAACAAAGTTATATAAGAATTTATTTCCTCTGTTTTTGTGGAGCCAATATGTTGTATATTGTTTGCAACACGTGATATTTTTTTTAAAGTGACATTTTGCCCATCCAAAGGCATATAGTGAGTGAATGAATGAAAGTCAAAATAAGGTTTCATTTTGCCATGATTCCTTTCAATTTCATAATTAAGTTTGCAAAAACAATGAATTACTCACAGATCCACACAAAATTTCTGTAAATATCCATAAGAATTTACCTAAAATGCTTAGTTTATAAAAAGAGTGGGGCAGTCTTTTCAAATTTTAGGCAGATTTATAATTTTACCCTAAACATTTTCCAATATCAACTATTGGTCAATCACCATTTTGACAGTCAATCTTTTGAAATATAAAGTAAATTCAGCTCAACTTGACCATGAAAATATGAGCATAATGCCACTTTAATGTCTAGAGAATGTAGATTGCTTATTGTGATGTTGGCCATTTGTTGAGAAATCTTTCTAACTGTTTCCCTAAATAATTAGTTTGTTATGTGATAATTAATTATGTTTTCCTTAACTAGACGTTTTTAGATTTCACGAGTTTTGTATACGAGGCTGGTGCATTGTGGGAAAGAAGCAGACGTGTCCATACTGCAAAGAGAAAGTTGATCTGAAGCGAATGTTCCCAAGTCCGTATCCTTTGATAAACCCTTCTATCAAACGTAGAGAAGTATTGGGTCAAATTTTATTTGTTGTTTGATTGCCCATTATTAGATTCATTAGATTATTAGATATCGTCAAAACATAATTCTAACAATTTAGGCAATTCAAAGAAAAAAACCTTACAACTGCAATGATTACATAAAAATGATATTATTGACCCATTTCCACATCATGTATGATTCTAGATAAAATAGGTTCTTTGAAACACAGAATTAAGGAATCAAATAAGAGTGATTATGAAAAGTGATAAATGACTTGCAGAAAAAAAGGTTGAACTTGAAATTTCTTTATAAAAAGTGAAAATACTGGGCTGGATGTCAATAAAATTCCGGAGAATTTCTTGAGTGTACATTTACTGTGATATTACTGGTTGGGGACCACCAAAACCGGACAACCACCAAACCCGGACGGCCCCGAAAATGCTTAATTAAGTATTTTCTTTGTTCAGTGGTTGTCAGTCACTTTTTTATCAACAATAAGTGCATGTTTATTTTAAAATTAAGTTAATAAATTTATTTCAACCTCCGTAAATAGTAATATTTTAATGTCTATTTCAAGAATGTTGACGTTGAAATTGGGGGTCAAGAAAGCAATGCCTGACCTTATATACCAGCTATAATCATTTGCAGAGTCCTGGTCCGGAATAATAGAATATCCAAAACTTCAGCATTTGTTGCTGACATATTGGATATCATGTTAAAAATCAAAAATCAAAACACCCAAGCTTTTATCTGAATTAAATCACGTCATGTACATATCTGTCCGGACACATGGTACTGTAGTGTGGACAATATAGGTAATTTTGATACCCTCCTTGTGCTGCTCATATATAAGTGTCAATACAATCAGAAATAAACAAACTAGTTTGTTAGTAAGGAGAAGAACCTAGCTGAACTGTGTCAAATTTTTTGGTCTCTAGGTTAAAAATTATGAAATCTGGACGGAAAAATGTTCCAAAAGTGTCCAGTTGATGGTCTCCGACCAGTACATATATAAAAATACTTCCTGTTTAGAGAATTTCACAGAAGTATATTGATGCAACCTAGTACTTATGTTACAAAAATAAAAGTGTAGTCTGATAATGATTATGTTATAAATGATGATATATAGGGAATGAATAGTGTCAAGATGACCCCTGTAATATGAACCTATTGTTACCATAGAGATAAATATAAAATATTGGTAAAAATCAGGTTTATCATAAATTGTGCTCCTTAACACATTTTCAGATGGGATAGACCACATATGATGTATGGAAATTTCCTTGATTGGATTAGATATTTAGTTGCCTGGCAACCAGTTATAATCATGTTAGTTCAGGGAATTAATTGGAGCTTGGGGTTAGAATAAGTAAAATGCATAATAGTTATATATTTATTGAATCCAATGAAACAAAATTGACAAAAAGCCATGATCAATGAATGTGATATTGTATAAGGAAAGTTACAAGAGTCCCACCTCTAGGTCTGCGTATTATTGTAAGTTTGATGTGAAATATATCTGTTAGAATATGGTTTAAAGATAGGATGTATGTTGTGTAAAGTTAACGATAATGAAGAGAGTTTTGTTATGTAAGTTTATTAAGAAAGTTTTTGTCAATTGAAATGTGATGGCAGCAAGGCAGCAAAACAGCATAAATATGATAAACTAATGGGTGACACAGACATTGATGTTAAATTGACAAAAGCTAAAAAATAAGTAAAGGAATACTCTAACCCAGTTGACTGTTTCATGCTATCCAGTTAGCTTACGGAATGTCGGTGGTTCTATTTGATGTCCTTTTGTGCCTTAAATAATGCACAGAGGAGCACCTGAGGTTGTCCTTCATTAGTAAAGCTGGAATATGTCAGTGTGACTTAAAACTGAACAAAAATAAAGAATTGGTTCAGCTTCAAAGTTGAAATAATCCATTAATGGTTACAAGGATTTCAATATTATAACTGAGCACTCAACAGTTTAGTCTTGAGTACAGGCTTCCCTGCAATACTGGTTGCAAAGACCTGTATTTACTGCCACAAGCATTCTAATTGGATTTGTTTAGCCAACTAATAACTCTATAGTTATTTTACAATAGATTCATTTGACAGCTACATAAAACATTATTTAGGTGTACACTTACAACCTCTAGTTGTACATCAATAGCATCCCAGCATTTGTGACAGATCATTTTGTTCACAAGTCAACTACATGTTATCTATTGACGAATAGTTACAGATTCCTGTTGGATCCAAAAAAGCCCATACTTCTATTAAACTATATAAGCTTTTCTTGATGGCTGCATTACCTTAATCTACAAATTGTGTGATAGAACTGTGGTAACATTTGAAAAAAATGTTGCAGTTAGTGTATGCTTTCAAATGTAGTCAATTATTTATAATTTTATCAGAATCTTCGCAAACAATAAGTTGTTGGCTTGATGGTCAGTCTTCAATCTAAACAAGTTTAGAATATTGCAATATTTAAAACGAGAAAAGGAGCACGAAATGTTGTTTTTTTTTTCAATTTTAATTTTAACTACATATATATGTAATTTTAACTACATGTTCGTTCTCAATGTTTAGTTATATTTTTTTTCTTCCTAACCAAATCTGGTAGGTTTTTTTTCTAACTTGTGTATTCAACACTCACCTTTAATGGAAACTTTCTACAAGAATAAATATTTTAATATTCACAATTCACTTTTCATACTTATATACAAATTTGGATCACCATTTTTCTTACCAATTACAAACTCAGTAAAGCTATTGTAAAGAGTATATGTTATAAATCATTATCTGTGTTATTAATATTTGTAGCAAGTCCCTTAAGCTGCCATAATTTGAATAACTTGTTCATGTGACAATATGTTTATTATTCAATCTGAAAGCCTGCTGCTCCTCCATATTGAAATCCATCCTCCAATTTTTATGGGGTCAGAAAAACACTTATCAGCAACAAAGAAGCTGTTGGGCACTAAATGTCAAAGGGTAAGCAAAATGTGTAGCCTCACTGGGACTTGAACCTGTGACCCTCTAAATACCATTCAGTGGATATACTGACTAAGCTTTCTGACCTTACATGTTTTCTCCCCAAATTAGTGAACAGTTCTATAACATCCCCCTACTATAAACCAGTAAAGTTTTCAAGTTGGATCAATTTAATATCAGAAATGTTAGAAACAAAAGAGAGAAGGATTTATTGTCTATTTTTAGTCTTGACTAAATCAAATAAAACATCTAGTCCATTTTTCCTGACTTGTTCAGTCTAAAAACTCTTAATGTCACTTGTATATAACTTTTTACCATTCAGCCTTATTGCCTTTATACATGAGTGACAATAGTTTTTATTTTACAGTTTATAATCTCTACATTACATCCGGGATATATTCTTAGATGTTTTAATTAAAGTTGTTAATTGTTTGAATGCTTATTTTAACAAAGATTTTATGACTTAAATTTTTTGTCCATTGTTGTGAAAATTTTTGAACATAGTTTTATAGTTTGTTGACAAAATTTAAAAATTTGGTATGTATATATAACTTCATGGATTTATGGAAACAAATTTTGCAAAAATAACTGACGACCCAAACTTCTAAATGTAGCTCCTCATTGCCCCTAATGGTTAAGGTGTTGCCTTTATGGGTTGAGGCATCAGAATTGCAGCCACCGTTTAACCCTGCTGGATCTTAACAGGTGACTTAATTTGTTCGAATTATTGGAGTCTATGCATCTCTTAGCTTCAGCAGATAAGGTGCTTCAGATCCCTGGTGTTGCATGAAGTTTGTAACACCTGAGGTTATACAAAATCATCTTTTCTGTTTCGGTGCCCTATGACCTTAACTGTGTTGGTGCGCCTTCAAACCAAACCAAACCATAAAACCAAACTAAACAAAAAAGCTCCTAATTAGAATTAGCCCAGCGTCAGTTCAGAAGATTTTGTGAACAAGTTACTGATGTGTATTGAGATTTTGTATGTGTTGTAAGTTTCTGTATGGTATATAATAGAAATAAATTGTTAATTAATTGCTCTATTGTTGTATAAATAAACAAAAGTGATATTATTTGTGAAACATAGTCTTGTTATTTGTTACAATTAGAATGAATTATGGTTCATATATATCCAGTAAACACAGTCATGCAGAAGTAGTGCATGTATTCAATTAGTGAATTTAACAGATCCCTATGAGTAATGACAACAAAATGTTATCAGATTTTATAAAGTCATCAAACAGTGAATGAAGAAATACAGGTGACAAGTTTCATTTGATTAGATTTAAGGTACATTGTATTTCCCAAATGATGCAGGAAGTTTCAAATAAAAGTTTAGACGCAGGAATTGGATATTGCTCACCACACCCTATTAATATGTAGGTAAAGTTTGTTTCTAATTTTTATATAAAGTGAAGTACAGTTACAGTTATATAAAGGATGTACTAGTGAACCACAACAGTCGCCATTTCCTTTGATAGAAACAATTGTCCGCTAGAGGTAGGACAGCAACGCTACACTATTCTTAGTGCTTGATAGTAAAAGAGCCTTGATAATGTAAAATTTTGCTGAGTAAATGACAAAGGACAACAAATTTCTTTAAATCCATGTTACAGTTATAGGCCTTGGAAAGAGTCCTTTTATGCTCTCAAAAAAGAGTATAATATTTCAACTTGTTTCAATAGAATATGAAAATATCTGAGGTATGCAAACCTAAATGTAAATTCCAAGTTGAAAAAGGGGCATAATTCTGTCAAAATGCTTGATACAGTTACCACCTCCTGTCTTCAGGTTGGGGTTATAATGGTGAACAAGTATGCAAAGTTTCAAAGCCATATGTCAATGGACTTTGAAAATATTTGAGGTATTACAAAAGCTTAAACGTAATTTAAGTTGAAAAAGGGGCATAATTCTGTCGAAATGCTTGATACAGCTACCTCCTCTTGTACAGGTTGAGGTTATAATGGTGAACAAGTGTGCTAAGTTTCAAAGCCATATGTCAATGGACTTTGAGAATATTTGAGGTATTACAAAAACTTAAACGTTAATACTAAGTCGAAAAAGGGGCATAAGTGTCGAAATGCTTGATACAGTTACCTCTTCCTGTCTACAGGTTGTGGACATGATGGTGAACAAGTGTGCTAAGTTTCAAAGCCATATGTCAATGGTCTTTGAAAATATTTGAGGTATTACAAAAACTTTAACGTAAATTTAAGTCAAAAAAGGGGCATAATTCTGTCATTATGCTTGATACAGTTACCTCTTACTGTCTACAGGTCGAGGTTATGATGGTGAACAAGTGTGCAAGCCATATGTCAATGGACTTTGAAAATATTTGAGGTATTAAAAAAACTTTAACGTAAATACTAAGATGAACTAGAACTGTGTCCAAAGGACACAGATGCCCCCACTGACAACATATATATGGTATATAGTGAAAAAATCAACAAAGGGCCATAATTCTGTTAAATTTGGTCGCAGCAAAAATTCCCTCATGTACTTCAATCTACACATTAGGGTTTTTCATCCCTGGAAGTTTAAGCAAAATCTGCCATCCGGTTTAAGAGGAGTTGCGTTCACAAAATTTCTATATGGTATATAGTGAAAAAATCAACAAAGGGCCATAATTCTGTTAAATTTGGTCGCAGCAAAAATTCCCTCCTTTTCTACAATCTACACATTAGGGTTGTTCATCCCTGGAAGTTTAATTAAAATCTGTCATCCGGTTTAAGAGGAGTTGCGTTCACAAAATTTCTATATGGTATATAGCGAAAAAAATCAACAAAGGGCCATAATTCTGTTAAATTTGGTCGCAGCAAAAATTCCCTCATTTACTACAATCTACACATTAGGGGTTTTCATCCTTAGAAGTTTAAGCAAAATCTGCCATCCGGTTTAAGAGGAGTTGCGTTCACAAAAATTTCTATATGGTATATAGTGAAAAAATCAACAAAGGGCCATAATTCTGTTAAATTTGGTCGCAGCAAAAATTCCTTCCTTTACTACCATCTACACATTAAGCTTGTTCATCCCTGGAAGTTTAACCAAAATCTGCAATCCGGTTTAAGAGAAGTTGTGTTCACAAAATTTCTACATAGTATACAGTGAAAAAATCAACACGGCCATAATTCTGTTAAATTTGGTCGCAACGGAAATTCCTTCCTTTACTACCATCTACACATTAAGGTTGTTCATCCTTGGAAGCAAAATCTGCCATCCGGTTTAAGAGGAGTTGCGTTCACAAGATTTCGGGACAGACAGACGGACGAACAGACAAGTGCAACACTATATGCTTCCATTTTGTGGGGGCATATTAAGACGTGCATAATCTCCATACAGCAATCTTTCCATTTATCAAGTTTCATAAAAGTATTTTCAGTACTTTTTGCGTTATCGCGGGATCCAGTTTTGTGGACGGACAGACAGACGTACGTACTCGCAAAATTGTACTTGTGTGACTTTTCCTTTGATCTTTTTGGCCATTTTTAGTCAATAAGGCTTAAAAAAAGACACACAAGTAAAATTGGAATGAATAGGATCAAAGAGAATTTACTGTTACCCATTGTTCTCTAAGTCACACAAGTGCCTCTGGGTTTGTATGGACTGACTGTCGGACAGACAGACGGAGGGTTAACCTAAAGTCTTCTCCAGTAAACCGGTAGGGGACTAATAAGTAAATATTTTGTAGTAGTAACAGCAGATGGAACATTAGAACCGGTTGAACCAGGTGCATCATGCTCCCCGAATGGGTTTTGGACACAGAAAAGTACCTCTTGTAGTTTCAGAGTTATGTCCAGACAAAGTTCAATTTGCAATAATTCCTAACTAAGGCAAGATAAAGTTACTGTTCTTTGCACTGCTCATCTACTCAATGATATCTATCTACCTACAAAATGTCTTGTTCATATCTATTATACTGTCAGAACTATGTCCTGGACAATGTTCAAAGTGTAAAAATGAACAATGGGCAACACCTCCAAAACTAGGCAAGGCAGAGTTATGGTTCATGTGCATTGCACATCTACCCAATGATCTATCTACCTACAAAGATTCATGTTGATATCTATATATAACAAGAACCACCGCCAGGCGGGGACAACGCTCGACTTTTTACTTTTTCTAAACGCAAACATAGAAAGGTTTGAACATATCTTAATGTTTCCTTTTTACAAATTTAGTTGGTCTGTCTTGTCACATTAGTTTTGTTTATCTATTATATATATATATATGTATGAATAGAAACATGCAATTCTATAAATAGAAACACACAATTCTATAAATAGAAACACTCAATTCTATAAATAGTAACAAGCAAATCTATAAATAGTAACAAGCAATTCTATAAATAGTAACATGCAATTCTGTAAATACAAACGCAATTCTATAAATACTAACACGCAATTCTATGAATAGTAACACGCAATTCTATAAATAGTAACACGCTATTCTGTAAATAGAAACACAATTCTACTAACATGCAATTCTATGAATAGAAACACGCAATTCTAAAAATAGTAACACACAATTCTAAAAATAGTAACACGCAATTCTATAAATAGTAACACGCAATTCTGAAAATTGTAACACGCAATTCTAAAATTAGAAACACGCAATTCTATAGATAGAAACACGCAATTCTAAAGATAGAAACACGCAATTCTATAGATAGAAACACGCAATTCTAAAAATAGTAACACGCAATTCTTTAAATAGAAACACGCAATTCTTTAAATAGAAACACGCAATTCTAAAAATAGAAACATGCAATTCTATAAATAGAACCACGCAATTCTAAAAATAGTAACACACAATTCTAAACAAGATTGCATTTGAGAAAAATGCTATGCCACCGCATGGTTCAAATTTCATAGCTGTACATCAAAGGACAAGAAAGTAGGTCACATCATCAAAATCTAGGTCAAAGTTCAATTTTACAACTAAAACTGTGCACAGTCATGGTCAAAATGTCATTGCTGTACATCAAAGGACAAGAAAGTAGGTCACTGTCCCCTTGGGCAAGGCATAATTTTGACCCAAGGGTTTAATAACAATCTTGATACAGGTCCACCAAACAACATTTCAAGTCAAATATCTAAGCTATAGCTTTCTCCCATTCAGAAAACATTTGTTTTATTTTCTGTTTTTACTACGTGTACATAATGAGAATCACTGCCCCCGGGCAGAGCCAATTTTTGACATTTGAACAACTTTGGTAGAGGACCTATAGATGATATTATATATCAAACATCAAAGCTCTATGCCTTGTACCTTCAGACAAAAATTTTTCTTTCACTATATGTACATAATGAAAATCAATGACCCCCGGGGCGGAACCAATTTTGACCCCAGGGCTATAATTTGAACAATCTTGCTAGAGGTTCACTACATAATGTTTCATGCAAAATATCTTAACTCTATCCTTTGTCAATTTAGAGAAGATGATTTTTTAAGTTTTAACTATATACATATAAGATAAACCTATGGCTCCCAGGGGCAGGGCTAATTTTGACACAAGAGGCAAAATTTGAACATCTTTGGTAGAGTACCTTTAGATGATATCATTTAACAAATATTAAAGCTCTAAGCCTTGTACCTTCAGACAATAAGATTTTTTTATTTTTTACTATATGTATATATTGAAATCAATGACCCCCAGGGAGGGGGCAATTTTGACCCCAGGGCTATAATTTGAACAATCTTGCTAGAGGTTTAAAACACAATGTTTCATGCAAAATATCTAACCTCTAGCATTTGTCAATTGCTAGAAGAATTTTTTTTAAGTTTTTACTATATACATATAAGGAAAACCAATGACCCCTGGGACGGGGTTGATTTTGACCCCAGGGCTATAATTTGAACAATCTGGGTAGAAGTCTACCAGACAATGCCTTATGCAAAATATCTAAGCTCTAGGCCTTTTGGGTCTTTACAAGAAGGTGTTTTTAGTTTTTACTATATGTACATATAGCGAAAATCAATGACCCCGGGGCAGGCCGATTTTGACCCAAGGGCTATAATTTGAACAGTCTTGGTAAGGGTCTACCAGATGATGCCTTATGCAAAATATCTAAGCTCTAGGCCT